CCTCCTTTTCTCCTCCCCTCCTCCCCCTCCTCCTCCCCTCCTCTTCCTCTTCCTCCTCTTCCTCCTCTTGCTCCTCTTCCTCCTCCCCCTTCTCCTCTCCCTCCTCTTCCTCTTCTTCCTCCCTCTCCCCTCTTCCTCCTCCCCCTGCTCCCCTTCCTCCCCTCTCCCTCCTGCCCCTCCCCTCCTCCTTTTCCTCCTCCTTTTCCTCCTCCTCCCCTCCTCTTCCTCTTCTTCCTCCCCTCCTTCTCCCCCCTCCTCCCCCTGCTCCTTCTCTACCCCCTCCTCTTTCTCTTCCTCCTCCCTCCCTCCCCCTCCCCTCCTCCTCTGGGTTGGGGGATGGGACTGCATCTGCAGCCACCTGGGCCCCCTTCCTAGGGCAGGCTCTGCCTTTCGGCTTGGTCAAAGGTGTCCCTGGGCCTGGCCCCACAGGTGCGCATCCCTTACCTTTGGCCACTCGCTTCCCCGGGGAGACCAGCAGTTCCGCGCCCACCCGGAGGTTGACCGGCTGCCCTTTCTGGGTGCGTCCAGCTCCCAAGCCATGCAGGACCTGCGCAATGGGCAGCGCCTGGATCTGCTGCACGGTCCCTGCAGGGGGATAAGACAGGCAGGGTGGGTGCCCCCTCCCATCTGGGAGGAATGGGGAGGGGGAGGGATGCTCCAGCCCCACCGAGGAAGAGAGGACAGACCCTCACACACAGACCCTCCAGTTCCTGAAAGAGACTCGGTTTTTTTGTGCAGCTCCTGTTCGTTTCAGAGTATCTTGGGATGGAGAACAACTGGGCCTATTATGTCCACAGCTCACCCTTTCTTTCTTTCTTTCTTTCTTTCTTTCTTTCTTTCTTTCTTTCTTTCTTTCTTTCTTTCTTTCTTTCTTTCTTTCTTCCTTCCTTCCTTCCTTCCTTCCTTTTCTTTTCTTTCCTTCCTCCCTCCCTTCCACTTTCTCTTTCTTCCCTTCCTTCCTTCCCTCTCTTGCTCCCCTACTTTCTTTTTCTTCCATCCTT